CAGAATTAGAGGTGGACCACTCGGTAATAAAAGAGGCAATGAGACTATACCCATCCATTCCACTCTTGCCACGACAAACAATTGACAAGTGCATCATAGATGGGTATGAAATTCAACCCAAAACCTTGGTTTATATTAATTCATGGGCCATTGGAAGGGACCCTGAAGTTTGGAAAAACTCAGAAGAATACTTGCCTGGGAGATTTTTGGATTGTGATATTGATTTTAGAGGACTAAATTTTGGACTAATTCCAGTTGGATCTGGTCGAAGAGCATCCTGGGATCAATCTAGGAGTTACAACAGTAGAGCTTGCACTTGCCAATCTTCTTTACTCATTTGATTGGAAATTACCTGCTAGGATGAAAATTGAAGATATTGATATTGATATCAATCCTAGTTTTACAGTACATTAGAGAAATGCTCTTTGCCTAAGGCCTAAGAACTACTTTGTTTGTTGTATGGAATAATGAAGCATTGTTTGTTGCCTTGTGAAATTTACTTTTATATGTAGCAATGTTTGTGGCTGGGATGATGTTTAAGTTGTATGGATTAATGGATTTATGTATATTATGAAGCACTGTTTGTTGTATGAAAAAATTCAAAACTGTTTGTTGCCTTGTGAATATCGGGCAATTTGGGTTAACCCGAGTTCAAATTATAAAGCTTGGTCCGTACTTGGGCAGCCACGCCCAGGTTGATAGTCGGACTTGGGCGGGCTTGGGCACTATCAAATACAATTAGGGCTGGGCTTGGGTACACCTTCAACCCAATCGAACCAACCCGAGTTGTACCCTTAGCAACAGGAAGAATGGGTTTCTGTGCATTTCAATTTTTGGCTCATGGGTTTTTGTGGCTCCCATTGTGCCACGTCATTGCACAATGGGAAATGCAGTGCAACACTGACATGCACTGTTTTGTTTTCTTTTTTTTATTTCATTTCTTACCCTGAAGCAAGGGTAAAATTGTCTTTTTATCCTCTAAGTACTTAGACACAAATTTTCCGTCCAAACCCTGAAAAAGTATGAACTTTTTAGATTTTTTTGATAATTTTTTTGACTTTTTAACTATAATAAATTATGTCAAATCAGGCCTAAGTATATTATTTATATAAAGAATAAATTAATCAGACAAGTATAATCCATGATCAAGTTGAATAATAATCCTAAAAAATTATTAAAATCATGTTAAATATTTATTTTTCTAGACATAAACGTGATCTTGTTATGAATTATAAATGTCTAATTAATTTAAATTTTTTTATGAATAATTTAATCAATAAAATTTATGCTATGAACAATTCAAATTATTAAAATAAATACCGGACACGTCTTTACCGTAGGCTAGCCCTCACCAGATCCGCCGACTACCTCCTCTTTGCTTCACACTGGCATCGCCACCACCAAATCGACACCAACTCTTCCACTTCTCGCCGGATCTGCTGCCTCCACACACTGGCTTCCTCGGATTTAGCTTACAGGAGCTTGAGTACAAGCCCATAGTGGAAGTGTGCTTACCCACTAGTTTGAGGTTGAGTTCGGGTCCTATTTTGTTTTTGTTTATTTTGGTTTGGTTTTGCCTTTGAAATCCATTAGTGCTTGGTGTTGCTTGCCCACTTTGTGATTGTATTCTATGATCTATCCTCGACATGCTCTACGGCTATTTGTTGGTCTCTGCTTGCAATACAAGCACAAGCACTTATTGTGCAGCTGGGTATTCTTCATAGATTTACTCCTGTATTTTCTTTGTCTTCTCATCTTTCCTTTGGTGGTGTAAGTGATTTTTGGATGGATTCCTCCCCTTGTAAGTGTCATTTGGTTACTTTAATGGAAACTCCTCCTCTGATGATCAAAAAAAAAGATTGGCTAAAATTTCTAAATGATCTTCATGAATTTTATTTTTTTTTTTATGATCTTCATGATTTTTTTTTTTTTTTTGATGGTGTGTAGTATTTTTTAACAAAAATGACCTATAAAAAATAGACACATAATGTGTGTGAATTGAATCAGATCATTGAAATGTGGATTGTTTTAATAAAATTTGTAAAAATATTATTTATTTTTGTATATTTTGTATTTATTTTTATATATTTTACTTTTAATAATGTAAATAATAATTAATTTATTTAAAAATCAATCACCTCATACTCAAAATCACCGTTCTCGTGTTGACCAAACAGACAAATTCAACACATGGAGTCTTAAATAGTTGTTTTCCTGACGAACACAAAGGAAACATCCAAAATGTTGAAAAATGTTTCGGACCTACGGGGAGTCGACCCCAGTGAGCTGGCGTTTCGTGATTGGGCCAAAAAAAATTATTATTATTATTTTTTTTTTTAAATTTCAGTCAGTGGGGACTCGTCACCTCAGTGGAGGTGCGACCCCCATTAGGGTCTGTAGCAGAATTGTAAAATGTTTACCTATACTTCACTTTTCTAGGAGTTGATTATTTTTTATATTTAAATACTCTTGCTAAAAGTAAAATTGATAAATATGATTTATTTTTTATAAAAGAAAATTAATGATATTTTGACACGTGTGTCTGTCCGTAAGATTTTTAGTAATACATTGTACAGTATTTATTGTAATAGCATACATCAATTTTTTTTTTTAAAAAAAAAAATAAAATAAATTAACTTCTCATAAATGCATTTGGATTTATGAATTTTAATTGAATGAATTTCACATCACCTATTAAAGGAATATCACATTTTAATTAAGGTCAAGTTTGACATCTTCAAAAAAAAATCAAAAAGTCAAAAAGTTACTATTCTATTTAAGTCACATCACCTCTCTACCACATCACTTTAAACCCAACCCATATTTCATAAAAAGTCAAAAAGTACACTTATTTATAACATCCCAAATAACCCCTAAGAATAATACTAGGGATCCCAAATAATATGTCAAATATTTTACTATTTGGCATGATCTAAAAAAGTCAAAAAGTCACTATTCTATTTAAGTCACATCATCTTATTTAAGTCACATCACATCTCTAATACATCACTTCAAACTCAATCCATACACAACTCATATTTCATCAAAAGTCAAAAAGTGCACTTATTTAAATTATCCCAAACCAACCCTTAAACTTTTCGCATGGATGTGAAACCTACACACATGTGGGTTTGTGTGGATCTCAAACCATGTAAGAGATTTGATAAAAAATTTGATAGATTATTTAAGGTTCATAACATTTTCCTTTAATTAAATGCATTGTTTTAGATATAAATTTTATGAATACTTTCAAGGGTTTTAAATTGGGGTAATGCTATAGATACTATATTTCTTATCAAAAAAATGACCAAATATCTCACATATATAGGAAGTCACAAAACTGTGGAGTTTACACCCATGTGAGATATTTAGTCATTTATTTAGTAAAAAATTTAAAACTTATTATATTTTTTTCTTTAAATTGTTGTAATGTGATGCTACATTTAAATTTATAAATTAAAATGAATGAATTTGACGTGACTCATTCAACATGTCATTGAAAATGAATTTTCACGTAGGAGTTCTAAAATCTCCATTTGAAAAAAATGAATAAAAAAAATTTTTAAAAAAAAAAGAAGCTAAATGATACTTTTTACCTTTAAATTTTAACTTAGGCCTTATTTGGCATGATTTAAAAAAGTCAAAAAATCAAAAAGTTACTATCATATTTAAGTCACATCATCTTATGTAAGTCATATCACATTTCTAACGCATCACTCCAAACCCAATCCATACCTAATCTTTTGAGATCTCTAACATTACTAAAAAAAACATTACTCAAAAAAAAAAATTAGAGATACTTAAATGTAATGTACGAAAGGATCTTTTTCTTTGATTTATTTTTACGCTTGGATACGAAAGAATAGTTGTCAAAATGCATTTATTAATATAAGTTTTACCATCTTTCAATCATGTTTATTTATTTTTTTTCTCAAGAATAATTATAAATATAAAAAATATTACATTAACCGGAACAAGTAAAATATACCAACAATTAGAAAGCCCAACAAATTGGAGGAAAAATAATTATATACAACTTTCAAATTCATGAAGAAATAAACACAACAAACAGTATCTAACTCCTTTCTATAGGAGTGAAACTCAGTAACCTCACACTACAAAATGATGTTACACAATCATTCAGACAAAATGTCTTAATTTTGATTATGTTTATTTAGAAAGATTGGATTAGATGTAATTAAAATTTAATCTTAAAATATTATTATTTTTTAATTGTGTGTATACAAGATGAATGACATAATGTTATGAATTTTATAATTTAGTTAATTAGTTTGAACATTTCTTTAAATTCATACCCAATCTATATTTCACTTCAAACCTAATCCATACCTAATCTATATTTCATATAAAGTCAAAAAGTACACTTATTTAGATCATCTCAAGTCACCCCTTGATTTCAATTCAATCCCCTCATTTCAATTTAAATTATATTACTTTTTGTTAAAAATTCAAAAGAAGAGTTAACATGTGAGTCAAGTGAACATGTTTTTGACAACATTGAAAAAATGAACATGTTTTAAGAACGTTAAAGAAAAAGTTAGCTAAATTGTATTTTCACCTTAAGTTCAGATTTAAATAAGATAGGGTATGGATTGTCAGTAATTGTGAACGAAGCAGTCCCAACATTCGATTTCTTTAGTAGTCAAGTTGAAAAGGATATATAGACGGAGTTGGATTTTTGTGTTTTCTCGTGTTCTTATTTATCCCCTTTTTTTAGGGGGTGCAGTGGTAGTTATGTTGGTTATGTTTGTTTTTTAATTTGTCGTTGGGTGTAAACTTGTAAAATTTCATTGTATGACTTACTTAACCAAAAAAAAAAGTTGAAAAGTTCAATGGTTTTTTCACAGGGACTTAATTAGTACTGTTAAAAAGATGTAAGACCAAAATGAGATTAAAGTGAAAGTTGAAGATAATAATTAATTTGTTAATTTTTATATTTTAAAAGTTTTAACAAATATCTATTCTCGAACTTCTAGCTAAATTTGTTGAGTTTTCAAAAAATTATAGTAATCTTTTACGGACTAACTTTGTTTAAAATCTTACTAAACTACAGTTCTATCAAAACTTATAAATCCACTAAAACGTTTTTATAATAAAAAAAATAATATTGTCGAAAATATATTCTTCTCTCAAGCATAAAATTCAATCCATGCCTCATCCCCTCCCTCTATGTTAGTTCTCGATAAGATAATGATCACAGCTTGTACTAATATATATATATATATATATATATATATGTTATCATGTTATCATATTGGAATATTTGAGATAGTTTCATAATTTATTTATTTTACCAAAAAAAAAAATCTAGATGGAAAAATATATCATAAAAAAGGAAAACTTCAAAAGATTGACTTATGACTCATTTTTAGATCTTTTGTTTTGGCTGAGAA